TTTTTGAGAGTGCTGGGTGAGTTACATGTAATGCTGAATTTTGCTAGTGATAGACATCAAGTAGGTCAAACTGAATTGCAGCCATGATGCGTTCTATCCTCGTCCATTCTGTTATAACCACACGTGAATACCACGCTGTTCCCGGTATTCGCAAGTCAGTGGCTTGCTACCCGTTACCCTACTGCTTGCACCAAAGCAACCGGATGGATTCCTTGCTCAGCGGAATTCATGGTGGTTAAGACAAACAACGTTCCGAATTCAGTCAGGGTATCTCCGGAGTTAGAGGTCGTCATATTTGCCGCTCTGCCACACAACTATACCCTCTTAGAGAAGCAGTTCTCTTTTCTCGAAGTTTCAGTGGATTTCGCGTAAAATATTTAAATTTTTTTGATCTGTCGATTCTTTACATACTGTTTCCTGTCAGCTATTGCTTTTCATGCTTTTCATTTTGTAGTGCCTGTCGACAGTATGTAGAGAATTTGTAAGTCTAATAAAATTTAATTTGATCTGCAGATTTTTCGAATGTTAAGTGCACCTCATTTTCTTTCGTTCCGTTTTCTTTCAGTTGCTTAACATGGTCAGGAATCATTGATCTATCAACTACATGTTTCAGCTTGAAATGTTCTTGAATAACATTTTATCCGATAAAAAGCACTATTTTAACATCTCTTGTGTAGTTCGTTTGCCTGTTTTAAAGAATTGAAACGTGTCTGACTCTTTGCGCACAGTTAAGTAAATCAGATAGAGTTTTACGGTGACTAGTTTTAGGTGTCAGAACGAGAAAATGATCGTAAACAGCGTGAACTAGAGCGAGCGGAAAGAATTCGAAAAGTGAACGAAGAAGAACTGCTTGTCAGAAAGGAACGTGAAAGGAAGCGTACATCTCCATATGACCGAAATCGACGTCGCTATTAAATGAATATTTCCGTTAGGTTGTTCTCTTTCGTTAAGTTGTATAGTGTATATATTTTATAGGCTTGTTTATTGAGAAAATAAACTCGTATGAAATAACTGAAGATATTCTGTTTTGGCTCTTTTTATTGGCTCTTCATAGTTAGTTGTTGTCTCGATATCTCGTAGAGCGGGCAACTTTCGAATGCAGAACATGACGGGACGCGATAGGGTCTGTGCTTCATCAGGCAGGTGTTGTTCAGTTATCAGAGCTTAGGACTCAGTAACTGGTAAGTTCATGAGTTTCTGGCTCGGTTCTGTCACTCACCTTTCATGTATTACTTTTAAGAATTAAAGAAAGCTGTATGTTAATGTAGTTAATGCTTTCAGAGTTGAGCACACCGGGCTGACAGCGTAGAAATGGAAAACAGCTTCAAGAAACGGCGGAGGGGGCATAGTACCAAAAATGGAAGTGCACTGAAAGCCAATATCTCAGGCGCTCTTGCTTTTTCTACATCAAGTGCAAAGCAGAAATATGGTGAAGCATGTCTAGTATAGGAGGTAATCCAATTACTACAGAATTTGACCTGATTAAATGCCTTTACTTAATGTCTAGAAGGAATGGCATGAACTATTCTGAAAAATGTGGTCCAATGAGCTAAGAGTTTTTCTCTTGAAAGATGGAATACTTTAGGCTAGACCGGCAACTTGCAGTTTAAATAGCATTACCTGTTAAAGTACATTATATCTACAAAAAATCAGTCTTATGTAGAATGTGAAAGGAGTTGTTAAAAGGTAGAATTTGGCGGTGGAATGAAGGCACATTTGTTAGACAAATTTTCCATGACTGTTCACGGCGATCATCTTCACAAATTCTAATATGCAACAATACCATTGAACGATCTTGCTTAGCGTGTTGAAAATTGTGTACGTTTGTCAAAATTGATCCAAGGTGAAAGAATTTCTGTAGATCTACGTAACATTGTATAGAATATCCGCGATGAGTTTAATGCATGAAACCAATATATGTCTAGACAAAAGTTGCCGGATAGGCCCTATAGGGGTATATCGTCGAGCAAACGGATATCAATCTTGCTCAACTACCCTCTGAGTTAATTCCTACCAAAACCTGACCACGGTTGCGAGGGAAGGGAAAAAGAAGTCAGAAAATTCTTCAAGTAGAGCAACTATACAATGGCAGTAATGTAGACAATTTCAGTTTTGGACTCCATAACCTTCCAAACTCGACATTTAGTTCTTTCATATGATCAAATCACTCCGCTCAGTTCAACTTGACTTGTCTTATACTGCTTGCTCATGTGAAAATCATTATTCAGTCATAATCATGTAGAGCTTGGTAATACTGCCTAAGAGTTCTAAAGTGCATGAACTGAGTCTTTCAGTGAAATCATTCTCTGTACTGCGGATTTTCTTAAATCCTACGTTGTTTCCACGCAACCCGCCGAGAAACAAAAAATAAGTCGGTGACTGGCGAATAATAAAAATGGAGCTATAAGGCAAGTCAAGTTGAACTGAGCGGAGAGACCTGATCATACAGCAAATATCGAGTTTGGAAGGTTATGTAGTCCAAAACTGAAATTGTCTACATTACTGCCATTGTATAGTTGCTCTACATAGAACATTTTCTGACTTCGTTTTCCCTTCCCTCGCAAACGTGGTATTTAGTTTGTTCGTGCCAGGATGGAGAAAGTCTCTGATCGGCTATGTTGCCAGTGCCAATGACTCTAGTGCCTGCATTCACCTTGACCCTTGATCCCTTTAATTGCTGACTGTCAGATGTAATAATCGACACAAAGTATAACCCCGAATACGATTTCGCAGAAAGATTTACGCTTACTGTTGTTGATCTCGTGTTGAAACGCGCAGTGTTCCTTTGATGCTATTCACTTTCACTTTCCTTCTCAACAAGTACATGCGGTACAGCACTTCATGTCTTAGTTTTCAGTTACAAACTTTTTGGCCGTTTCCTCATTAGTACATAAAATTTTCCATTGGGTGAGCTTAAGTACATTTGGTCAGCCTATTCATTGTGCAGTACTTCTAATCGTTTTCGTAGATACCGCTGGTTACACAGGTTTTGAACGCATTCAGT